CCACCTTAACTTGATTTCAACCATGGTAAACCGTTGCTGTACTGTGGGCTGTAACAGCGCAAAACATGATCCCCATGGGAAAAACATAGAAAATGGGTTAACTTTCCACCGCTTTCCTGCCTGGAGGCGTAACCATGGAGACCAAGTGTCAGAGATAAAGAGTCGTCTGCTAGCTTGGATCGCGGCTGTAAGACGACTGAACTTAACTTTCCACAGTATCCCGATGTCAATGAGAGTGTGTTCCCTGCATTTTCATTCTGGTAAGTTAAAGATGCACAGTTTTATTTTATAGCCTACATTGTTTCTTTCCTTCAAAGTTGGGATCTCTTAAGGGAAAATAATAAAAAGGGCAGCGGGAAAAGGCTCAAATACGCGAGAAAACCCGGAGGGTTTGGGGAGGGTTGGCAGTTAACATTACTAACTACACCTTTGAAACACATAGCAGCTAGTTAAAAGTACATTACATGCGTGAGTGGTTGTTAGCACTAGCGGTTAGCAGTTACTAAACTAGCAGGTTCCAGAGCCCGTCTGATCACAGCTTACCTTCGTACGGATTACTGTGTTCCCACTGTTTGCTGGCTTTATGATCTGCAGCTCCTGAACCCATCCATTCATGAACTGCACATGAGACTCCAAGGACTTGTAGCTTGGGAACTGTTTTAAAGTATAGGCGCTCACTCACTGGTGCTCCACTCATTGTTTGGAACTTCATATGGATCCAAATGATTAATAATGCTGATTTTGTCAACATACCGGTCCCTGGCTTCTCTATTTAATCTGTCCCGGTAAATTCCAGATCCTTTTCGGGATTTTAACATATTTTTTCTCTCTACTTCTATGTCTTTTCTTTCAACAACAACGTTGTATCAGATCTATGTTTACGTTCGCGTAGCCCTCAATATGGCCGCCACATCCCACAATGCAACGCTGATCCCGAGCCCTATTGAGGAACTAGTTTTTTACCAGCTGCGGAATTATATACTTTGCTTCTGGGTGGTAGTGTTACTTTTGTCAGTGTATTCCGGTTCATAGAGATATAGAGACAGTTGGATGAAAAAGAAATATTCCTCAAAACCCGATATATCCTCATGCCATTCAGACGTTACCATTATTTATGACTGTATATTTGTGTAATCAAATTCCTTCATGCACGTAGCAGCAGGTGATATCAATCCTGCTGCCTAATACAGGAAGTACAACTTTGTAAAGTGTCTCATTACCAAGTTATAAATGATTTGCCCCAGATGTTCTGTGGAGTGGTTAAGATTGTTATTAATGACAGGCTAGCAGATTCCTATTGACTTTCACTAGCATTAGCATTAGCATCAGCGATGACCTGGAACTAGAATAACGGAATGAAATATGTTGAAACTGTCTTCAGTGAGAAGTTGTATCCTGGCTCACTTGAAAATGATAAAAAATTCTTAACTTCCCCTTTAAGTGAAAAAGGCCAAACTGATCCTGGTATTCAGACCACTCTTTACACCAATAATTGAAGTTTCTTCCTTCTGTACTAGTGCTGGTGGCTATCTACACTGCCTGGACAAAAAAAAAGTTGCCACCTGGATTTAACTAAGCAAATAGGTACGAGCCTCTTATTGGATAATTACTGCATGGGCGATTATCTTTCAGCTGGCAACAAGTTATTTAACCCCAACTGGTGCAATGATTTGCTTCTCATTTCCTAAACAACCATGTCGAAAGACGCATCCCGTGGTCGTGGAAAAGAAGTTAGTCTTTTTGAGAAGGGTCAAATCATTGGCATGCATCAAGCAGAGAAAACATCTAAAGAGATGCAGAAACTACTAAAATTGGGTTAAGAACTGTCCAACGCATTATTAAAAACTGGAAGGATAGTGGGGACCCATCATCTTCAAGGAAGAAATTATAAAAAGAAAGAAAAAAAATCCTGAATGATTATGATTGGCGATCACTTAAATGTGTGGTGAGATCAAATTGAAGAAAAACAACAGTAGAACTCAGGGCTGTGTTTAATACTGAAAGTAAGAGCATTTCCACACACACAATGTGAAGGAACTCAAGGGATTGGGACTGAACAGCTGTGTAGCCGTAAGAAAACCACTAATCAGTAAGGCTAACGGGAAAAAAAGGCTTCAATTTGCTAGGGAGCATAAAAATTGGACTGTGGAGCAATGGAAGAAGGTAATGTGGTCTGATGAGTCCAGATTGACCCTCTTCCAGAGTGATGGGCGAATCAGGGTAAGAAGAGAGGCAGGTGAAGTGATGCACCCACCATACCTAGTGTCTACTGTACAAGCCTGTGGGGGCGGGGTTATGATCTGGGGTTGCTGCAGATGGTCAGGTCTAGGTTCAGCAACAGTATGTGCTCAAAGAATGAGGTCAACTGGCTACCTGAATATACTGAATGACCAGGTTATTCCATCAATGGACTTTTTCTTCCATGTCGGCACAGGCATATTCCAAGATGGCAATGCCAGGATTCATCAGGCTCAAATTGGGAAAGACTGGTTCAGGGAGCATGACACATCATTTTCACACATGGATTGGCCACCACAGAGTCCAGACCTCAACCCAGTTAAGAATCTTTGGGATGTGTTAGAGAGGGCTTTGCACAGCGGTCAGACTCTACCATCATCAATGCAAGATCTTGGTGAAAAATTAATGCAACACTGGATGGAAATAAATCTTTTGACATTGCAGAAGCTTATCGAAACAATGCCACAGCGAATGCGTTCCGTAATCAAAGCTATACGCAGTCCAACAAAGTATTAGAGTGAATGACCTTTTTTTTTGGTGGCGACTTTTTTTTTGGCCAGGCAGTGTAGCTTCCCGCTGGTTCATGGCAAGGCCTCATCCAGTAGCAGAATAGTACAACAGCACATTCTAGCTGGCTAATAGGACGCCTTAGCTTTAGCAAGCTTTTTAAGTTAAACGCCTTAGAGCTCTCCAGGTTAGCTCTTTAAGCAAGCTATAGATAGCTCCAAGTACAATGGTGCATCATTTGCCCCCACACTCATAGCCACTCTCTCAGTTCTAGCTTTATGCCCATTTTTGTTTATTCTGAGAGTGACCAGATGTGCAACGTTGCCAATGGTGAGAAAAGCTGACCGAGTTCAATTGAGCTCTCAGAAATCTATGGGTGATTGAAGGGTTGTCTTTTATTATACAGTCTATGGATTTACATGAAATTCATTAAAAAATATCATGTAATGAATGTTGGATACAGCTTCCATTTTTAGCATTTATGAAACTGTATTTTGTATAAGGTATTAATGCTAACACAAAAGCATCACATGGAAAAAAAAATCATTGAATGTTGTTAAATGTGCAACCATTGTGCGGTTAATAATCATATTAATTTAAAAAACCAAAATGTTAAAATTGCAGAGTTTTACTGTAATAAATATTATGGTGATTTTCCGTTAAATGAACAATAGAAGAGGACTTTACAGTAAGAAAATGTATTTTTTTCAGATAAAACATGTGAAAATGGCAGTTATTCCTATCTTCTGTAATTACAGAGATCTAATATAAATTGAACAATAACAAACCGTTCTACACTTTACAAATCTTTACTTTCATGGCTTTAAAGTTTTTTGCTGTAAAATTCAAAGAACTTTTTAAGATAATAAGTTAATTTTGCATTTACAAATTGTTTTCTTTACAGGAAAAACATACAAATATCGTACATATTGTAAATGTTAAGTGTGAGATACCGTTTCCATTTTCAGAAAAATTTTTTAGTATTTTTGATTTTGGAAACTGTATTTTTACATTAGATTAATGCAAAAATTACGGTGTCAGATGTTAAAGATATAGCGGAAAATTATTGTTACTTGAAAAGACATTCAGCAGTGAATAATCGCAATATTAAGGGGAAATTAATGCTAAAATTGCACTGTTTTACTTTAATAAATATTATGGGAATTTTCCGTTATAAAAACACTGGAAGAGGCTTTACAGCAAGGCAACGTATTTCCTGCGGAGAGAATTTGTAAAAATACAGTTATCCATTTTTTTTTTAAATTACACTGATTTAACATAAATTAAACAGTATTAAACCATTTTACAGTTTACAGATTTTTACTGTCATGGTTTTACAGTTTTTTACCGTAAAATCTACGGACATTTTTTACAGTGTAGAATCCAGACTGGATTCAAAGTCATGGAGATACTCAGAGGATCTAGGCTTTAGCGCTGACCAACTGGAACAACACTGCGGCGTTGAGGCAAGGTCTGAAGACAGCTTAAGTAGTGGATCCTCTGATGATCTTGACGAGCTGCAGCTGTGCAGGGAGCTCCCTGGGAGGATCCACGGCGGACTCTGCTGGAGAAAGATGGGATTTCTCCAGCTCCCAACAGGAACAAGACAATTTACATTTAAAATTAGAAAACACAATTGCATTGTCTTATTTCAAGTGCATGTTATCAAATTATTTAATTTTAAGAGTAAAAATACTCATTCTATTGGCAGACTCTCATTTGCCTACTCAAATTAAGGGTAAATACACTTAATTTAAGAAATTCTTTCTTATTTCTCGATCGTTTTTCCAGTGTAAGAACAGTAGATTGAAATTCAAAGAGCTTAAACTGAGATGTTTCTGCAGAGGAAAGGAAGGAGCTGCATTTTGACAGGAAATTGGTATAAATGAGACCTTGACTGTCTGAAAATACTGTAAGAGTATTTCCTAGTGATCCTGAGATTTCACCCCCTGCGGCTTTGCCACTAATGAGAACATCTGCATCTGTGAAACATACGGAGTGTGAGTGATCGGCAAAAGGGGAGCATTGCCTAAAAGGAGGAAGCAACTGTGACTTACAGACAGTCAAAGCTAATGCGCTGCAAAATACTTTGAAAAAAATTAGACGGAATGGGATTGAAAAAAAACAGCACCGAGGATCATGCTTTTAAGTTACATAAGCAGAGACTCTGGAAATGTCACTAAAAGCCAAATTACCCATTTATTGCATTTACTAATTCATGTAATTTCAACTTTTGATTTCCTCTCCTTCCCAAGGTGCCAGTGCCCTGCTCAGTTTGAGGGACCCGAATGCCAGCAGAACAAGCACAGTTTCCATGGCAACGGTTATGCTTGGTTTCCTCCTATGACGCCTTGCTTTGAGAGCCATGTGTCGCTGGAGTTTATCACAGACGTGGCTGATGGACTGCTGCTGTACAGCGGCCCACTCGCACAGCTGCAGGCCTGGGACCACGAGGACTTCATGGCCATAGGTATGAAGCAAAACATTTTGGCTGGATGGAGGAAGGAAATGCTTTCAACCTTTTATTCATAAAACATTTCAGGGGAAGGTAAATGCACTCAGAATAAAATTAGACCAGGATGTCTGCCAGATGGAGGAGGAACTGCAGGCAGTTCTTAAATCACATACAGTGTGTCAAAGCTTTCTACTTAACTTCAGCCTGCTGTAACAGCAAAGATGAAACAATATGATTTCACTTTATCCCAAAATGAAATCAGAACCGGAGCTATTGACCGAAGGGTGTAACTTTGTAATGAAAGTTGGTGGGGACTCTCTAAGGGTGGGGGCTGATGGACCTACAGTAACTCCACCCAAACGCTTCAATTAGGTTTTTGTATTTTCCACAAATGAGCTAAAAATATATTCATCAAATACTTTCCTATTGTTGAGAAAACAAAAGAGCCATAATACACTGGTATTTATATTCATAGATAGAGAGAGATGGATTTTTGTGCATTATATATATATATATATATATATATATATATATATATATATATATATATATATATATATATATATATATATATATATATATATATATATATATATATATATATATTTATATATATATATAGGGCCCAAAAACATTAATGTATAAAAAACAGTAACGGATAACAGCTGAATTCGATACCAAAATCGATAAATCATGCGTCCCTAGAATGTACAAATGGAGCCTAGACGGAAGTTCAACGTCTGCTACCTGGTGCGCAGGCGGTGGATGCGCTTTGGCTTCATTCAGATTACCCCATTTTAACCCACCCCCAGTCCCTTATTCCTCCCGGACTCTTACTGCTTTCCGTGTCTCATTTCAATGGGTCCTGCAGAAGACCGCCTTGTTGAGCCTGGTTCTGCCAGAGGTTCATCCCTATGGGGAGTTTTTCCTCTCCACTGTCACTTCATGCTTGCTTATGAAGCGACAGCTATTTGTCTATGCAACACATGATCCAGGGTACGCTGTTCCTTTATAACCAACTTGTGAAACATTCTTTCGACGGTGTCAATGTTAGCTTAGCATAAACAGACTACCAACATAAACAACTATATTTAACAGAAAACTAGGTTAAAATGGTGATGTTTTCCTCATCTTGTCATTACCCAGCAGCCCTTGCGGCTACTCCAGCCTCACAGGATATTACAATGACTGGTAGAGAAAGGAGAAATAGAGCTTAGACTGACTGAAACAAAACTACTGACTGTAAATACTTCATCATGACCTATTATGTAGGCCTACAGTTCAGAATTCATGTTTATCTGAAGAAACACTTATTAAACACAAATCTATCCTATTGAATATTATTTATTTTCATCACCAGTTATCAAAGCTTTGTCAGCACTTTGGAAACAGGAGATAGGCCCTTACCTAATCCACCACCTGGCCTCAGAAACCTTTTCAATTATTTAATTTTACTTAAAACTGAGGTATCACACACATACCATCTTTATCTCATTTTATTCTTACCATTATCTTTTTTTTTTATATATATTCTTATTCTTTTTTGTACTTACAAGTTTATTTTTCTCTCATCTGGAAATGATTGCACTGTAAGAAAAAGATGTCCTGCAAGGGATGAAAAAAGTAATTCTGATTCTGTTTCATGGTAAAATTCAATTGAGCCATTTTAATCTAGATTAATCTAGCACCTTTTTAAATGACGACCATGTAGGAGCACTGAGACCATCACATTTCCCTAAGATGGGTTCAAACTGGTGACACAGTGGAGAACCAGTTCCTCCACATTAGAATCTCCTCCTCTCCGCCCACATAATGTGCTGAACCAGATATTTCACAAAGATTTCTGCCTGATTTTTTGCACCGTGTCTGAACTATTTCACAACGCAAACCTGGAAAGAAGAGTCCATGATGGCAGCTACCAAAGGACACCTCAGCCTATATGTAAAGACTTCATGAGGCGGAGAACACATCTGAATAGTAAAGCCTGAGGATTGTGAAGAAAGCGGCTGTAGATTCCCCACCTGAGTTTTGTGTCTTTTATTTCTGTCTGTTTTCCACAGTGCTATGCTCTTCAATTAAAGATGAGAAAAGTTTTTTACAGTTTTGTCAAAGTAATGTTTGAGCTCTGCAGCTCTTTTCTTCCTCTTGTTTAACAGAGAGCCGGACTCACAGACAGATAAAAAAGCAGGAAGTGTAGATCTTTGTAAATTTGACGGTATCATCTGATAGACTCACATCTCCTCATCTCTCCTGCTCTTCCTTCCCTGGCGCTGGTCCTCTCTCCTGGGAAACAGGCTGTTGTTCTATCACTGCCAAAGCAATAAGTGTGGGAGGGGCGATCCATAGGGAGATCTGCTGTCTGCATGTTTGCATGTTAGCGGCAGGTTTGCTGTCATTCCTCACTGATTCCATTTTCCCTCCCTTGTTTTGTTTCAGAGGGTGTTTTGGGGTTTATTGGGTCGTAAAGACTTAGGATTAGGTTAGTTGAGTCGTTAGTGGGATCCATGTGCAGCGTGTAATTAGGCAGGCTGTATATATTTGGAGCTCTAATTAACTTGTGTCAGGGTTGACCTGGTGCATGTAACAAATCCATCAGGGAGCTCAGCGTGTGTTGGAGCCTCGTTTTCATGCAGCAGGTAGAAAAGAGCTGCTGAATGAATTACAGCTCTGGAATAAAGTCCATTTTGTAATCCTAGCCGCCATAAATGTTATAAAAGTAATATTCACGCACTAAAGTCTCTGTTATCAAGCTCTTATTTAAAATTTAGCTGCCACCGAAAAACCAGGAGATGTGATAGATGGGTATGAAACTGAACCTAAAGCTTATCCAAAATCAGAGACAGATTTTATCTTTACTTTTTTTTAATGTCTCCATGGTCTCTTAACTCGAAAATAACTACTGAGCATGACACTGTAACCAGAACATTAAAGAAAAGGGATTGTCTGTATTTGAAACTGTTCTTTACCTGTTTTTATTGGTGTTGTTGGGTAGGTACTGTATGACACATAGGGGGAAACAGCTATTCTTCAACTTTCCAAGAAAAAAACAGATCTTCCAAGTCCTGCTGATTTGGATTGAGGTGCAGGCGGCGATGAAAAAAAAAAAAATCCTCTCTGGGATAACTAGTTTTCTTGTTATTTCTATTACTTATTACTATCTGTATGACATGATCTTGCTCTTGGTTGTTGCGTATGATTTTCTTCTCTAGGTCTTTGTGTCAAGGTGTTGTTGTTTTTCTTTAAGAATAAAAAATAGTCTTGGGATATTACTGTATGCTGCCGGAGTGATTGGAGACCATCACAAAATAAGAGCATGCTGATAGATAAATGAGGTGGAATCATTGAAGCCACCTCTCAAGCATCAGCAAGGAATCTAAAGCTGGGCCAGGCATGGTTCTTCCAAAAGAACACAAACTATACGCATGCATGCCAATTAGCCATCGAAGGTTATAGAATGGAAGATTTGATGTTTTGTAGTGGTGGTCTCATAGCCTTAAACTCAGTCCCATCATGAATGTGTGGACATGACTGAAAATGGATGTGTGAGATGTTACGCTGTTAAAGTGACCTGTTCTTTCAGCTCACCCTATAGATCCAGATCATTCAGTCAGATTAAAGGTTTAAAGTTTTCTATTCAAGGAAAAAAACAGATGATTGCATCCAGTCATGCAGCATGCGGCAATAGTGGAGAGGAAAACTACTCTGAAAAACAGGCCAAGCTTCAACATCTATAAACAAAGGTGTTGATGGCAGCAGCACAGCTGATATTTCCCTCCAGGATGAAGTCGCAGCCAAACAGGCTTTTCTATGATGAGAAAAAGCAGAGAGCAGAATGTTAGAGATTGAAGTAATTGATTCTGCACAGTGGGAGAATAGAAATAGAGTGATTGGTCCCTATGTCCTCCAGCAGTCTATGCCTATAGCAGCATAACTATAGAGATAGCTCTGGATAACCTGAGCCACTCTAACTATAAGCTTTATCAAAAAGGAAAGTTTTAAGCCTAAAGAGTCCCAAAGGTCAATAAATACTTTGCAAGGACCTGACTTAACTAAGCACCTGATTTGAGCATCAGACGGAATAATGGCAAGGTTTTACTGTGAGTCGAGTTGCAGGTCCGGGATGAGGAGGAGGGGGGGAGGGGCAGCTTCGGATATTGGTTCATCTCAGTACACACCCAATTAACAGGAAACATGAACATAACATGAACAGTAATGTAGAAAGAGAAATCAAAAAGGGTCGTGACAGAAACAAAATATCAGCATTAAAAAGGGTTTTAAAAGTAAAGATTTTGAGAAGGATAAAAACAACTAGCGACCTGTCTGTCTGTCTGTATGTTACATTGTGTGGCTCACAGTTCCTGTGGTTTTTTCCTGTCATTATGTAAGATTGCGTGTATGCAGGTGTAAGCAGCCTTCGTCTGTCCGGTTTAGACTCCTGGCTGCTTTTTCACTTATAAAAACATATATGTATATATATATATATATATATATATATAGATATATATATATATATATATATATATATATATATATATATATATATATATATATATATATATATATATATATATATATATATATATATATATATATATATATATATATATATATATATACGCTGCACTGCAGAGTTTTCAGATGCTGGTTCTCTCCTACAAAGCCTCCCACTCATCCAACCCGTTTTCCTGCCTAAGGGCGGCTGCACCAAGCCAGCCATGCTGTGTAGGACAGAGAAGGTGATTAGAGCAGAGCAGGCATTCATATACAAAAAACTTTTCTGTTTGCAATCTTTGACATGGATGACACTCCATAGGTGTGTGTGTGTGTGTGTGTGTGGTCATTTTTTTGTTACTTTGTGGGGACGATTTCACAGGAATATACTACATTTAGGGGACTTATAGGTACTTGTGGAGACAAATGACTGGTCCCCATGAGGAAAGGTGGTTAGTTTATGGTTAGGGTCACCTGTCAGGTCATAGAAGTGAGGGGAAATGAATGGAAGTCAATGGAATGTC